TACCTAGCTCAATAAGACGTATTTTTACTGTAGACATCTTAGTTCGAAAAATCACTAATATTACAGGGAATGACCCGAACCGAAACAAAATAACACATTGGAAACGTCGAATTAAGTGACTGGTGGAGCAGTGCAATGAAGACCACAAGAATCGAATACAATTATATGGAAAACAATGAAGTGAAGTATATTTCATGTTTTTTAATATTTTTTCGCATTTTGAAATATTTTTCATATTCCTGTTGCTTTTGATTTGTGTGTATGTTTTGTTATGTTGTTTGCATTTTGTGAATTTTATGTTATTATGTTAGGGAGAGCATATAATTGATGTATGTTAAATGATTTTCAGATTTGGTTATTTCAGTAGTGCAGTTTGCAAGGGACCAGGCAAGAACTTTATTGAAGCCATATATGAGCACAGCATAGGATTAATCAATTAATATACTGAGATGCTCGAACTGGAACCTTGAGACTTCCGAGGAATTGACCATGACATCAGTCAGTTACTTATTAGAACAGAATTCATATCCAACTTGCATGTTTTGAGAGACTGTACTTGTCAAGGGACGAACTAGGACGTGATCTTCATTGTGATTATTTAAACTAATGCGAAAGTATCGCAAGTTGACTATTTTCGTACATCTATTGTTATAAAACTGAAATAAGCATGTTGGATATTTTAATGATGTATTTCTAATGAATATCAGAACCGCTCGAAAAGAGTATGCATCATTAAAAGAATGTGTGGAGATCTTATTCATAAAAAATGTAGAAATTTGAAAGAAAATCATGATTTCTTCTCGGAGTTATGCAAAATCATCATTTCGCATAAATAAAAATCACTGTCCTCTTTGTATATCAAAGAATTATTAACATAATACAAGATACTTGCGAATCTCGTTGCTGAAGTATTTCATTTACTGAATGTTATAATGTTTGGGAGCAATTTCCATAATTTCTGTCACATAAGAGTGTAATACGAAATCAGTGGCTATAATATTTCGGATGATTTTTCATTAGGTGGTAATGGATGTTTACCATGTAATGTTAGCTACTTGCTATTGAAATATGCACTGCAGACTCACTCTTTGAGTAGAGAATCAAGAGTACATGATCAATTGGTGAATTTTGATTTGTATGCTCATACCCGGAAAAATCACTTTTAACTCCTTGCAGAGATTGAAATAATAATTTTTCTGA